ACACCAAATGGTATGGACAATCGACAGTCATTCTTAGCAACAACTTTTAACAAATCTAGCTGTGATAAGAACGCACAGAGACTGAGTCAGAGGTACATTTTGCTTTTTCTGATTTATATATTTTCGTTTTTCAAAAGTTATCTAAAAGAAGGATAAGGTATACCGTTTAACTATCCATCTTTACTGGCCTCTTCAATGACTCTTTAGACAAGATTAATATGTTAAAGTTTTTGATCAGGAATTCTCTGTAATTTTCACTGAATTGTTCTCAACAATGCCTTTGCTTTCTGTAACCTGTGACAAGATGATAATTTGCGAATAATATTAGCCATATACAGCATGTTTTATCTTCGGGGACAAAGCTACCTCAATCTAACATCACAATCTTGAACATGACATGGCTTTTTAATAGAACACAATCAAAATGGTATCTCGAATATGTCAGACCTCTCTTTACTCTGCTGTGCTTTTATTTATTTTATTTTTTATTTATTTATTTTTTGAGACAGAGTCTCGCTTTTTCCAGGCCTAAAGTCGAGTGCCGGCATCACTACTCACAGCACCTCAAACTCCGGCTTTAACGCATCCTCCTGCCTCAAGCCTCCCGAGTACTGGGGACTACAGCATCCCCCATGCCGGCTAATTTTTTCATAGTATATATATTATTCGTTGGCCATAATTTCTTCGTATCATATGAGCGACGGGGTCTCGCTCAGTTGTCTGGTTGAACTCCTGACCATTGCAGCAAATCCGTCTGCCTCGGCCTCCCAGAAGTGCTAGGATTACAAGCGTGAGCCACTGCGCCCGGACCTATTTTATTTTTTTTTGGGAGACAGAGTCTCTGTTACCTCAGGAGATGAGTGCGCCATGGGCATCAGCTTAGCTTACAGCCAACCTCAAACTCCTGGGCTCAAGGAATCCTACTGCCTCACCTCCCAAGTACGCTGGACTACAACATGGCCACCAAACCGCTAATTTTCTATATATAAGTATATTAGCCACTATTCTTTCGTATTAATAGTAGGAGATGGAGTCTCATTCTTCGCTCAGCGCTGGTTTTTGAACATCCTGACTCGAGCAGA